GAGACACCGCGACGTCGACCCTGGGCCCGCCACTGGGAAGTCCCCGAAAGGCTCCTCCTCACACGAGTCCACCACGTCGCGCCATTCGCGCCCCCGACCGCGCGGCCCCGTCCTCACAGGGAGGGCGCGGGCGTCGCCCGTCGCGGCCGCGCCGCCGCCGGGGGCGTCGCCGACGGGGGCAGCGGGCCTGAGGGGGGCGGCGAAGGCGTCCTTGTCTAGGGCAGTGAGGCGCACCACGATGGCCCGCCCAGGCGCCACCTCGAACAGCCCGCGATCGCGCAAGGCCAGATTCGGAGTGCCGACCCAATCGCCGACCTCGATCGGCCGCGAGCTGTCAGGCTCCGCGGCGCGCCAGAAGTGCCCAGGCGGGGGAGGGGTCGCGGCGCCGCCCACCGAATTGGGCACCGCGGGGACGGCCAGGGCATCGCCGCCGTCCGCTTCCTGGTCGCCAGGCCCGCCAGGCCCGGCCGCCAGCGCGTCACCAGCGGCAGGCATTCCCTGCTTGCCAGTCACACGCCGCCCGCCGAAGAAGTTGCGCCCGAGCTCGTCCTCCACCGAGACGTCGCGACCCTCCTCGGAGCGGATCACCTGGGGCACCGCCAGCTGCAGCCCGCGACTCCGAGCGTCGGCCGTCGAGGCCGCGTACGCCCGGCGATACAGGCCCCGCAGCTCGCCAGGCTGGTCCTCCCCAAAGCGGTAGGACCGGCCTAGTCCTGGCGGCAGCCGCAGGTCTCGCGCCACGAGCTGCCACTCCACGGGGCTGTCGTCCGGCGAGCCGCCCTCGAGCTCCTCGATGTACATGTCGCCGTCCGGGGTCAGGACGACCCAGCACGCCCCGCCCTCAACGTCCGAAGCGGCCGGGTACAGAAGGATCCGCTCGTGCCAGAGGTCGACCCCGGCGTAGCGGACCATCACCCGGCATCCCGGAATCAGCCTCGCCGGAAGACCCGCCGACGAGCGGGGACCGCGCAGCTCCACCAGCGCCATCGCTCTCGGAGCCCGCCACCCAGGCCCGAGTCAGGAGGCTGCCGAGCACGATCCCCAGCACCAGCGCCGCCACGCAGAGCCAGCCGGCGTCGTGGCAGACCGTGCTCCGCTCCGCCACCTCCCGCACCGCGGCCGCCAGCGCGTCGCACTGCGGCACGCCCTCGGGGGAGCCCACCCAGACAGGCTCGCCCCCTCCACCGCCCGGCGCCCCGGGCCCGTCAGGCGCCTTGCCACAGGCGCAGTGGCACCCTGGGCAGGCGGGGCACGGAGGCGCGGCGGGGCAGAGCGGGCACGCCGACACCGATGGGCAGCTCGGGAGAAGGGCCCACGACGCGCCAGCGTGCAGGCCCGCGCGGGCCAGCTCTCGGGCGCCCGCAACCCCCGCGTCGACTAGGGGGCGGAGGGCGTCCTTCATCACCTGGAAAAAACTTGAGCAAAGGTGGCCATCGGACACGATGGACGGCAACGGGACCGACGGCGAGGATTCAAATACGTGTGAAACACTGAACTGTATGTGGTGTGTACGCTTGTCGCGAGCACTGCATCCATGTGCATGTAACTATGGATGTTTGTACGTATTGATTGATGAGCGGATGGGTATACATAAATATATACGTATAAATATATACACATACATATAGATATATCGCTATATGCATGGCTGCATCCATGCATGTATGCATGTATTGGTATATGTATATGTGTGTATGTGTGTTTGGATGTTTGTAAGCATGCATGTTTGCATGTATGGGAGAGCGCGCGCGCGGAACTCGCAAAGGGGGGGGTCCCCCCTTAGCTCCCCCCCCCTGGGCACTCCGGGCTGGAAGCGACTCCCCTCCCCCCCCTCCCCCCTTTTGTGGTCCCCCCCCCCAGAAGCTACCGCCCCCCTCCCCCCTTTGCCGCTCCGGAAGCTCCCCTCCCCTCCCCCCCTTTCCAAAAAGGGGGGGGGGCTTAGCTACCCCCCCCCCCCCCTCTTGGACCCCCCCTGCTGGAGCTACCCCCCCCCCTCCCCCCCTTTTGTTCCCCCCCGGACCCCCCCCCCTCCACCCCTTTTGCCGCTCCGGAAGCTCACCCCCCTCCCCCCTTTCCGAAAGGGAGGGGGGAAAGGGAGGGGGGCTTAGCTACCCCCCCTTTAAACCCCCCGTGCTGGAAGCTACCACCCCCATTCCTTAAACTCCCCTTGCCTGACGATCCTGCCCCGTCGCCGTCGTCATTGCCGTCGCCGTCGCCCGACGTCCTCGTACGACGCCGTCGTCGTCCTCGTCGTCGTTGTCGCCGCCGTCGCCGTCATTGTTTTTCGCATGACCTCGTCGTCGCCGTCACGACAAGGACGAGGTCATGCGAAGACGGCGACGGATGACGGACGACGCGCGACCGACGACGACGACGACCCAGGGTCAGAGAAAACGAGACCACGACCCAGGGGCTGAGAAAACGAGGAAACGAACCAGGGCCCGATAAAACAAGACCACGACCCACGGGCCAACAAAACGAGACAACGAGAAAACCTACCAGTGCCCGAGAAAACAAAACCATGACCCAGGGGCCGAGAAAACGAGACAACGAAAAAACGAAGCAGGGCCCGAGAAAGCGAGAACACAACCCAAGGGCAGAGAAAACGAGAAAAACGAGAAAACGAACCAGGGCCCGAGACAACGAAACAAAAACCCAGAAGCCAAGAAACCGAGAAAACGGTACTGACCCAGAAAACAAGGGTCCGAGAAAAACCAGGGTCCGAGAAAACGCGATAACGACCCAGGGGCCGAACCAAGGTCCGAGCAAACGAGACCACGACCCAGGCCGAGAAAACGCAATTATCGGTCCTAGAAAACGAGACCACGACCCAGAGGCCGAGAAAACGAGAAAACGATAAAAGGAATCAGGGCCCGAGAAAAAGAGACTACGAACCAGCGTCCGAGAAAACGAGACCACGACCCAGGGTCCGAGAAAACAAGAACACGAGAAAACGAACAAAGGTCCGAGAAAACTGGACCGAGACCCAGGCGCCGAGAAAACAAGAAACAAGAACACGAACCAGAGCCAGGGGCAGAGAAAACGAGGAAACGAACCAGGGTCAGAAAAAAGCGAGACCACGACCCAGGGGCAGAGAAAACAAGAAAACAATAACAAAACCATGGCCCGAGAAAACCAAACCACGACCCAGGGGCAAAGAAAACGAGAAAACGAAGCCGGGCCCGAGAAAACGAGACCACGACCCAGGCGCCGAGAAAACAAGACAACGAGGAAAACGGCAAGGGGCCCGAGAAAACGAGACAACAACCAAGGGGCAGAGAGAATGCGAAAACGATAAGACAAACCAGGATCGAGAAAACTTGATCACGACCCAGGGGCCGAGAAAACAAGAACACGAGAAAACGAACCAAGGTCCGAGAAAACGAGACCACGACCCAGGGGCCGAGAAAACGACAAAACAAAACACCAAATCAGGGTCAGAGAGAACGAGACCAGGACACAGGGGCCGAGAAAACGACAAAACACGACAACGAACCGGGGCCCGAGAAGCCGAGACCACGACCCAGGGGTCGAGACAACGAGAAAACGAGAAAACGAACGGGGGCCCGAGAAAACGAGACCACGACCCAGGGGCCGTGGAAACGAGAAACCAAAAATACGAACCAGGCTAAGAGAAAACGAAACCACGACCCAGGGGCAGAGAAAACGGAAAACACGAGAAACCGAACCAGGGTCCGAGAAAACGGGACCACGATCCAGGGGACGAGAAAAAACAACGAACCAAGGTCAGAGAAAACGAGACCACGACCCAAGGGCCGGGAACAAGAGAAAACGGAAAAAATAACACGGGTCCAAAGAAAAATGACACCACGACGGGATAAAAAAACAAGATCACGAAACGGAGCAGATAAAACGAAACCACGACCCAGGGGCCGAGAAAACTTCCTTGAGACCGAAAACGCCGAACAACCTCCTGGAACCTCAATGTGCGAAGACCTGCCCACTGGCCCGCGCCTACAACGCGCGCCGCGACGCGCGCGCGCGACCCCGATAGCGAGCCTCCGCGTGACCCCGGCTGCAAAGAAAGGGAGGGGGGGTAGCTTCCGACGCCCCCCCCCCCTTAGAAAGGGAAGCCCGGGCGTACCTCTGGCCTCGAAAAGTGAGGAAGGGGGGGGTAGCTTCGAAGCCCCCCATCCCCCCTTTAGCCAGGGCCCCCCCAGCTCAAAAATGCTTCCGAAAGGGAGGGGGAGGGGGGCAGCTTCGGAAGTTCCCCCCCCCTGTTCGAAGGACGGGGGGGGGGTTGCTTGAAGCTGGGTCCCCCCTTTCAGTATTGAGTTCCGTGCGGGTGCGCTCTTTCGTATGTAAGCATGTATGTGTGCAGGTCGGTAGATCGGCAAGTATGTTGGGTTGGTCAGTAGGTATATCGGTAGATCGGTATGTGTATATGTGTGTATGGATGTAAGAATTGATGTATGTATGTATGCATGTATGCATGTATGTATGCATGCATGCATGTATGTATATGTGTATATGTATGTGTATGAATGTACAAACGTTCGCACGTCTGTTGGTAGTACGGTATGTATGCATGAATGTATGGATGCATGCATGCATGCGTGTACATATGTGTTTGTATGGGTGCGCATATGTATGTGTGCATGTGTATGCATGCATGTATAGATGCGTGCGTGTATATAGTTCTATATATGTGTATATATGTTTGTGTGTGCTCTGGGAGCTCCACTGACAGTCTCCAAACCAACGTTCGTATGCCACCCTCCCGCCCATGGCGGTACACCCCTGAACTCGACCCCTCGACCTCGGCACCCCGCAGCATGTTTCTGCGGGGCCTCTGAAAACCTTGAGATGGATCGTGCAGGAGGCAGACGCGAGACCTCCCGTACGCTGAAGGGGGCCCAATGGGACGCCTCCTGGGAGCCTTTTGGAATCATTGTGGGGGACCCTATTGGGGCCCTCTCCGACCGTGTAGGCTGACACAACATGGCACTTCTACGAGATGGGAACGGAGGGTGCTGGGCTCAAAGTGGTGTTCTTCCTCGTTCCAGCCCTCGGGGCCGTCCGAGGCGCCACGGGGCTGGACGGAGGGAGCCCGAGCCCGGGGCCTTCAGGGGCGCCACGCACACATGGCCGCCCGAGCCGTGGGAGTCGGCTCGAGCAGTGCGGATAGATTGGCCAGCACCGGCTCGCTGCGAACGCCGCCCATGACCGTCAAGTGCACGAGCGTGACTCCCCTCGCCAGAGAAGATATTCTTGATCCTTCTGGCCGTGGGCTCCAGCTCCGCCTCCTCCGGCCAACCGACCACCTGCCTCATCGAGCCCAGGCCCCCGGCGGCCTCGAGGAGCACCACCCCGAGACTCCAGCAGTCCACTGGCTTGGCGACATACGACTCGTCCACAACCACCTCCGGGGCGATGCGCGGCAAGTCTCCGCACGGCGTGGCCAACGGCGTCGACTCCGGGCAAAGCGCCGCCTGGAAGAAGTCCACCAAGCGGCAGAAAGGCATTTCAGACTGGTCCTCCATGACAATGTGCTTCAGAGACACTTGCCTGTGCACGACGTCCCGTGAGTGACAGTGGGCCAGCGCTCCTGCTATCTGCATTGTGCAGTCCACAGCATCCTTGACATCGAGGCGGTACCCTGGCTGGTCCAGAAGGCGCTGGTGCAGATTCTCCATGCCCCAGAATTCGAAGGCTAAGTACACCTGGGAGAAGCTATGGCACATGTTATTGCAACGGACGATGTGTGGATGCCTGAGTATGTCCCTCAAGAATCAGAATGCGCGATAGATGCACTCCAGGTCTTCAGCAGATGCGTGGACCGACTTGTCGTAGGTCTTGAGGACAACTTTCTCGGACTCGCTCCGATCGCCAAGCAATACCAAAACGTTACCAGAGCCACCCTGTCGGCAGTCTCCACGAGGTTGCGATCGATGTAGTCGAACTTGTGCATCAGAGCTTTCGGGACGCTCTCCCATAGCAGCTCGGTGTGATAGTCATGCACACGCTGGAAATAGTCTTCATCGCGATCGATCATCGCCTTTGCACGCCGCGCATTCGCTTCGAACCAAGCCGTGTCTTGGTCGAGAGTCTGCAGCAGCCGATCCGGAGTGTCACCGGGATCCAACACCACAGCGTTGGCACCGAGAGCAGGAGCGCGTCGTGGGGCGCCATGACCTTCTGTACGTATTCTCGGCTCATTTCACCAGGGACCTCACGCAACTGCAGCACGAACGCGCAGAAATCACTGAACGGCTCGAGCTGTTTCAGCAGCTTCTTCATCATGCGCTTCTCGTACCGCGTTTCAAACGTGCATGGCACAAGCAAGCTGCCGCACTCAGACGCCAGGGACTCGATCCCCTGTGCATCCCGATGACCTCCAGGCGCAGAGTCTAACAGTGTGGCGAGCTTGCTAGGTCGCTGCGGAGAGCTCCACGGCACCAGGGTGGCGAAGACGAAGTGCGCGGGCAGCTGCGAGGCCATACGGGAAACATAGCTCTATAGCATTGCTTGGCTGGACGCCGACGGCAGTCGAAGTTCCCTGGCTCCCATGGCCAAGAACCAAGCGATGATGAGGATTCGTGCTGCACCGCGGCAGCGCAAGCACCTTGGGCCGTTGGCACCTTGAACCAAAATGGCTCGAGTCAGATTGGCTACGGAAACTCTCATGAGGCCGTCTTGGGGCCCTCTTGGGCCGTCTTGGGCCGATGTGGGGTCCTTTGGGACCATCGTGGCCGCTGTTAGGACTGAAACAACGAAGATCAAGACTATATATATATGTATACGCGTTGTTCCACCAGAAATGCTTTAAGTTTGCCCTTGGGGGACCTTCTCGGCGGCCTCTTGGATCGTCTTCAGGGTCTTTGTGGCCGTCTCGGAAGAATCTTGGGATGCCTTGGGGCGCTCTGGGGCCGTCTTGAGGCCATCTCAGTGCGCTTTTCAGCCCCCTGTCCTACTCCGACATATATGTGTACTAGAACCATCGCGCGCGCTCAAGTTCTAGCTAGCTTCTTGGGGCCTCCTCGGAGCATCCTGGACTGCCTCTTGAAGTCGTCATGGGACCTTCTTGGCATGCCTTCGGGGGCCTCTTAGAAAAAATGTTGAAGCCTTTTGGGTGTCGTCTTGGGGCCTCTTGGAGCCTCTTTTAGGCTTCTTGGGGGCCTCTTGGGGCCACTTGGGGGCCTCTTGGGGCCTCTTGGGGGCTTCCTGGGAGCATCTTGGGGAGGAGAGCTTGATCTTTCAGTTCGCGTTCCCTCTCGTGGGCCCCTTTTCGGGCCTTCTTGGGACCCTCTTTCGCTGTCTTGTGCGGCTCTGGGGCCGTCTCGGGGCTCTCTTGGGCCGTCTTGGGGCCCTCTTGGGGGCCTCTTGGGCTGGAGCGGTTTTGGGAGCCTCTTAGGCCGTGCTTTAGCGCCGGAAACACGAAACAGCGAGAATGCAGACAACATTAAACAAACATGAAACTCAACGATTTTGCCTTCTGGGGCGCTCTTGGGCGGAATCTGAAAGGCTTCTTGGAGCGTCTTGGGTGCCTCCGGGGCAATTTAAAACACATCGTGCGGCCTCTTGGGGGCCTCGCGGGGCCTTTGGAGGGCTTCCTGGGGGCATCTTGGGGCCTCTTGGAGCATCTTTTGGGTTTCTTGGGGGCCTCTTGGGGCCACTTGGGGGCCTCTTGGGGTCTCTTGGGGGCTTCCTGGGGGCATCTTGGGGAGGAGAGCTTGATCTTTCAGTTCGCGTTCCCTCTCGTGGGCCCCTTTTCGGGCCTTCTTGGGACCCTCTTTCGTGTGCGGTTCTGGGGCCGTCTCGGGGCTCTCTTGGGCCGTCTTGGGGCCCTCTTGGGGGCCTCTTGGGCTGGAGCGGTTTTGGGAGCCTCTTAGGCCGTGCTGTAGCGCCGGAAATACAAAACAGCGAGAATGCAAACATTAAACAAACATGAGAATCAACGATTTTGCCCTCTCGGGGCGCTCTTGGGCGGCATCTGAAAGGCCTCTTGGAGCGTCTTGGGTGCCTGCGGGGCAATTTAAAACACATCGTGCGGCCTCTTGGGGGCCTCGCGGGGCCTTTGGAGGGCTTCCTGGGGGCATCTTGGGGCCTCTTGGAGCATCTTTTGGGTTTCTTGGGGGCCTCTTGGGGCCACTTGGGGGCCTCTTGGGGTCTCTTGGGGGCTTCCTGGGGGCATCTAGGGGAGGAGAGCATGATCTTTCAGTTCGCGTTCCCTCTCGTGGGCCCCTTTTCGGGCCTTCTTGGGACCCTCTTTCGTGTGCGGTTCTGGAGCCGTCTCGGGGCTCTCTTGGGCCGTCTTGGGGCCCTCTTGGGGGCCTCTTGGACTGGAGGGGTTTTGGGAGCCTCTTAGGCCGTGCTGTAGCGCCGGAAATACGAAACAGCGAGAATGCAAGCAACATTAAACAAACATGAAAATCAAAGATTTTGCCCTCTCGGGGCGCTCTTGGGCGGCATCTGAACGGCCTCTTGGAGCGTCTTGGGTGCCTCCGGGGCAATTTAAAACACATCGTGCGGCCTCTTGGGGGCCTCGCAGGGCCGTTGGGGGGTTTCCTGGGGGCATCTTGGGGCCTCTTGGGGGCATCTTGGGGCGGAGAGCTTGATTTTTCAGTTCGCGTTCCCTCTCGTGGGCCCGTTTTGACGCCTTCTGGGACCCTCGTGCGCCGTCTTGGGCGGTTCTGGGGCCGTCTCGGGGCTCTCTTGGGCCGTCTTGGGGCCGTCTTGGGAGCCTCTTGGGCCATCTTGGAGCGGTTTTGGGAGCCTCTTGGGCGGTGCCTTTGCGCCGGAAATACGAAGCAGCGAGAATGCAAACAACATTGAGGACAAACAATGCAAATCAACGATGTAGCCCTCTCGGGGCGCTCTTGAGCGGCATCTTAAAGGCCTCTTGGGGCGTCTTGGGGGCCTCAGGGGCAATTTAAAACACATCGTGCGGCCTCTTGGGGGCCTCGCGGGGCTTCTTGGGGGCTTCTTGAGGGCATCTTGGGGCCTCTTGGGGGCATCTTGGGGCGGGGAGCTTGATCTTTCAGTTCGCGTTCCCTCTCGTGGGCCCCTTTTCGGGCCTTCTTGGGACTCTCTTTCGCTGTCTTGTGCGGCTCTTGGGCCGTCTCGGGGCTCTCTTGGGCCGTCTAAGGGCCCTCTTGGGGGCCTCGTGGGCCGTCTTGGAGCGGCTTTGGGAGACTCTTGGGCGGTGCCTTAGCGCCGGAAACACGAAACAGCGAGAACGCAACATAACAATTTAAAATTACCCTGGCGACGTACCCAACCCCTGCGCAATGCGGGGCATGAGTAGCTTGGGAGACGTTATACGGAGGTGATGACGTGATATGGGCGCATATACTTCTGCGAGCGGCATTCGTGAGGCTCGCAGCCCCCCCAGGATTGCGATGTCCCGCTCAGAGCTGCCTGGTGCCTCGCTCCGCTGGACCCACCAGCAGCCATCGAAAGTGGCGACAACTTCGCAGATCGACCCCCCCAGGGACGGCGAGGTCCCGCTCAGATCCGCGCGGTGCCTCACTCCGCAGGACCCACCAGCAGCCCTCGAAAGTGGCGACAACTTCGCAGATCGCAGCCCCCCAGGGACGGCGAGGTCCCGCGCGCGGTGCCTCACTCCGCAGGACCCACCAGCAGCCCTCGAAAGTGGCGACAACTTCGCAGATCGCAGCCCCCCAGGGACGGCGAGGTCCCGCTCAGATCCGCGCGGTGCCTCACTCCGCAGGACCCACCAGCAGCCCTCGAAAAGGGCGACGATTTCGCAGATCGCAGCCCCCCAAGGACGGCGAGGTCCCGCTCAGATCCGCGCGGTGCCTCACTCCGCAGGACCCACCAGCAGCCCTCGAAAGTGGCGACAACTTCGCAGATCGCAGCCCCTCAAGGACGGCAGGTCCCGCTCAGATCTGCGCGGTGCCTCACTCCGCTGGACCCACCAGCAGCCCTCGAAAGTGGCGACAATTTCGCAGATCGCAGCCCCCCAGGGACGGCGAGGTCCGCTCAGATCCGCGCGGTGCCTCACTCCGCAAGACCCACCAGCAGCCCTCGAAAGTGGCGACAACTTCGCAGATCGCAGCCCCCCAGGGACGGCGAGGTCCCGCTCAGGGCCGCGCGATGCCTCACTCCGCTGGACCCATCAGCAACCCTCGAAAGTGGCGACAACTTCGCAGATCGCAGCCCCCCAGGGACGGCGAGGTCCCGCTCAGGTCCGCGCGGTGCCTCACTCCGCTGGACCCACCAGCAGCCCTCGAAAAAGGCGACAACTTCGCAGATCGCAGCCCCCCAGGGACGGCGAGGTCCCGCTCAGATACGCGCGGTGCCTCACCCGCAGGACCCACCAGCAACCCTCGAAAGAGGCGACAATTTCGCAGATCGCAGCCCCCCAGGGACGGGGAGGTCCCGCTCAGATCCGCGCGGTGCCTCACCCCGCAGGACCCACCAGCAGCCCTCGAAAGTGGCGACGATTTCGCAGATCGCGCCCCCCAGGGACGGCGAGGTCCCGCTCGGGTCCGCGCGGTGCCTCACTCCGCAGGACCCACCAGCAACCCTCGAAAGAGGCGACAATTTCGCAGATCGCAGCCCCCCAGGGACGGGGAGGTCCCGCTCGGGTCCGCGCGGTGCCTCACCCCGCAGGACCCACCAGCAGCCCTCGAAAGTGGCGACGATTTCGCAGATCGCAGCCCCCCAGGGACGGCGAGGTCCCGCTCAGGTCCGCGCGGTGCCTCACTCCGCAGGACCTACCAGCAGCCCTCGAAAGAGGCGACAATTTCGCAGATCGCAGCCCCCCAGGGACGGCGAGGTCCCGCTCAGGTCCGCGCGGTGCCCCACTCCGCAGGACCCACCAGCAGCCCTCGAAAGTGGCGACAGTTGTGCAGATCGCAGCCCCCATCTTCGGCGAAGAGAGGGCAGGAGTAGGCGGGAGGCGGGAGAAGGGACGCGACCACAGCGCTCTATTCAAAACGAATACCCAACCAAGGAGGGCTGGAAAAACAATGAAAATCAACAGTTTAGCCCTCTTGGGGCGCCTCTTGTTTTATGTTATTGTTATTTTTTGATACAGCCTTGTTGGTCTGGAGCAACATGCAGCAAGCCCAAACAGCCTGTGCAGCAAAGCTACGCGCTAAGGGGTAAACACGCTATACAGCAAATGGCGATGATGAAAAAGACGTGGAGGCACAATGCCGCTGGTCAGCCGGAGTGGCAACGCCACCTCTTCTGTGGTGCTTTGACCAGTGCGCACGCCTGGGCCACGCTCGGACTAAACCCAATCCCCACTGCAAATCCACTACGATTGTGGGGCATCGATGTCAAGATTACCCATGGCATCCGCGATGGTAGCAGCGGAGGAGACATGGGAGGCGGCGGGCGCGGCTGGTCAGCCGGAATGGCAGTGCCCCTTCTTCTTTGGGGCCTTGACCAATGCGCACGCTCGGGCCACGCTCGGACTAAGTATGGTTCCCACAAAAGTGCTTGCTTATCGATGTGTGTAGGAAAAT